TCTCCACTGTGGGTACCGGCCCTGGAGCCCAGAAAGCATCAAAATATAACAGTAAGGTAAATTAATTTTTAAATATACTCAATATTATCAGGAACATGTTAAAATTGTCTGAAATACTCATGAAACTTGACAATCCTCTGATAGCTTTTCTTTAGTTTTCATGCCAAGAATTAAATCGTCTCTCATTAACATGACATTTGCACTATATAAGGATCAGAACAAGTTTGTGTTTGATGGCATTGTGCTTAGAGGAGTTTTAAGGTCAAATGTTTCATAAAAATAGTATACATACAACATTGTTTGTTTCTATTCCAACCTTCATTAAGTGCTTATCTGCTCACCCCTGGGGGGCCCACCCGGTTAACTCATGCCTATGAAACAATTTGACCTCATCCAATATTTACATTTTTCAATTTTTTATTTTCCACGCCACCGCTTTATATGGCTTTGTATAGGGCCATCGTGCACAGCCCAGAGGTCAATAAGAATACAAAAATCGTACGCCGTTTTCAAAGCCAATCAGCAGTCGGATTAGCAAAGCATCCGTTATTTCGTGGCACGCGAGCGACATTTTTAAGACCGTTATTAATTTTCATTCTTTTATTTTAATTAAATATTTAGTTACAAAACATTACGGCACTTTCTATAGAAAACCGCTGTCGTAAATGATTAGTTTGACGCTAACTCACGAGCCACCTGTTATAGACGCCACCCGTGTTGATCAGCCTCAAAATCAATGAGCAGAGATTTGTCTGGTGGCAAAGACGACCAATCCAGGTTTACATCAACAACAAAAATTATAATAATAAATTGAAATGTTATTTTTTACAAAGTATTTTTAAAATGTATTTACAAATAGCTTGCAAATAAATTTTAAATGATAAATTGTAAAAATATTTTTTATTATTATAATTTTTGATTTTTTAAAGTAACAGCCTCCCGTCACATTTTTGCCATAAAATATTGTTCCGATTGAGAAAGTCTGCAAACATTATACTCGGGGTTTAAATGTAACAATATTTTGAGACTCGTTCAAAGACAAGCCTGAATTTCTCAAAATAAAACAAGCAACCTTAAAGTTAAAGAATCGCTGCTACGGTGGAACGGAAACCAAGCTGTGGATACCACCAGGACTCCCGTCTAGCAACTATCAATCACTTATTACCATTTCTTTCCTTTTCTTCCTCAACAACAACAAACCCTGGATGAGCAGAGAAATAAGGGAGGTCATACTCCACAAGTAAACCATGTTTAAGTTTAACGATCATGGATTCAATAAAACTAAAAACTTACTGAAGGAAAATACATCAGGGTTCCCAGACTGTTTGTTTTATTTACGACAAACACAGATATAGTGGGCTGTCGGGGGCGTAGTATAAATTATAGTTGTGTTCAGTTACGTAGCTTCCACACAAACGTAACCTAAAAAAAAAAACAAAAAAAAAAACAACAACAAACGGGTTCATTTTTGCCTCCTTATTTAAACAAAGAATTGAGTTTAATTTATGTTTTAAGTCTTTTTAATTTAATTAAGATGCGAATAAGAAGAAATAAAATGTGCTAAAATTGTTATTTAATTTTTTGTGTAACATTATTTTACTTCAATTATAAAACTAACTGTACAAGATGTAGAATCTGACTAAAGTACTCTAAGATATTCACCATAAAAAATGGTTTGACTCGAGGTGGGAGGAGCGTTATTTCAAAAATTCTTTGAAATGGATTTCTTATGTCAAAGTGAAACAATTGATTAACATAATCAATTCAATATGTCCACTTTGTCATCAGTGACTCCCTCGCCCCTCGACACTTTTAACTGATTCAATATTCAAATCCATTTCTGAAGAAAAGGTTAGACTATTTCTCTTTGAAAATTTGCTGAGTAAAAAATGCCATTTGGGCGAGAAAATTTTGATATCAAAATATAATAGGCAAAAGTTAGGCTTAGGTGCTAAGAAAATATTTATTTTAAAAGACCGATGGCTTTGAGATCTCAGGGATAAGACATCATGGTTAACTAATAGAAATTAATTATTTCAATATGCATGTTCACAAGCTATGTCTCTCAAACTAGGTTCGCGCTCCGTGAAGGGGTCGCTTAGATCCGAATTTTGTGCTATTTGCGATTATTGCCGCTGTTTGTTATTTCCCTTGGAAGCATCAAATTTGGTGCCCATGAGACTTATTAAATTTTGAGAACCGCTAGAATAGGGTAAACGGTATAGGCACACTTCTTTTTCAGAATCCAGCAGAGGGTGTGTCGAATGTTTAGCCAGCCCCCCCCCCCCCCCCCCCCTTTTTTTTTTTTTTTTTTTTTTTTTTTTGTTCTCAGAAATCTTTCACACATTGTGAAGGGTAAACAATCTGAGGAGTCATTTCAGTTAGTATATATTTCTCAGATCTCCAACAGCCGGCTTGTAAATGCTTTTTAACTAAGAGCTAAGCCTAGAGCTAACCAGAGGATTGAACATTGGGTTGGGCAGAGGACATGTCTCCCAACTCTCCATGGGATCACTTTTGTTTCCCCGTCCTCTGCAGGAGAAAGACTTTGTATACAAACTCTCTCCATCTTTCTTATTCCTAACATACTATAGTCTCCATTTGTTTTTGCCTTGGTAAAATGTTCTCGTCTAAACGATACAAGTTACAATTTGGATGATCTATTATCTCAATTGATTGGTTTACTTAATCTAGTTTTTAATTGTTTACTTAAACAAAACTAATGACCAATTTATATTTAAAATTTCATAAAGCAGTTTGTTTTTTGTATTTGTTTGTTGTTTTTTTTTTTTTTTAAAGATTATGATGCATTCCGAAAAAATTTAATCAGATAGGACGTTTCAAATAGGAAATAGTTTGGTTTTACTGTAATAAAGTGTAATGGGAGAAACCCCTCTGTCTTTTGTGTTCTGATGTGTTGGCATTCACACCTCTAAAGCCCAGAAAGTTAAAGACACACTTGGACACGACGCATCGCAGCTCAATAAACAAAGATGTCGACTTCTTTAAACGCCAAGCTGAACGGCTGCACAAATCCAGGCTTGATGATTCCTCAGATGTTTTCACAGAACATAAAAGCCTCCTATGCTGTTGTAAGGAAAATAGTTGATTTTACCTTCCTGCAAAAATACAATATCGAATGTGCAGGGAAGTTCTGAACTTGAGAAGCTAAAGCATGTTTTCCCGTCAAACGATATTTTTGGGATGCGAATAGCGGAGATGTCTGATAACATACTGTCACAGTTGGTCTCAAAGATTCAGAATTTGATTTTCAACTCTTAGCGATCCAGCTTGATGAAGCGATGGATTTAGTCAACTAAGCCCAACTTTGCGTATATGCACGACATTTATATGACAAGCAACTGGAAGATGCTTTCCCCCCCCCCCCCCCCCCCCCCCTAAAGATTCAGAATTTGATTTTCAACTCTTAGCGATCCCGCTTGATGAAGCGATGGATTTAGTCAACTAAGCCCAACTTTGCGTATATGCACGACATTTATATGACAAGCAACTGGAAGATGCTTTCCCCCCCCTTCCCCCCCCCCCAATATCTGAGTACCAGTATAAATATTTGATAAAGTAGACAAATAGGAATACGTCACTGGCGTGTGTACTGACGGCTCTCCGTGCTTGGACGCCGTTCTGGTTTTCAAACTTTAGTGAAGCAAAGATCGCCAGACCATATTGGTACACACTGAAATATTCATGCCAAGTCTTACTCGTGAAAACAATGCTTGGTGAGTTGAATAAAGTTCTCAGTGCAGTGATTACAGCAGTGGACTGCATTCAAGCGAATGCACTGAACTCTATTTTTTCTTCTCAGTCATGTAAAAAAAAAAAAAAAAAAAAAAGGTCGCGGATTACAAACTCTATTGTTGCTACCCGACTAAAAGGTGTCTTGAAAAATGGAAAAGTTTGAAGAGCGTTTTCACGCTGCGTGAAGAAATGCATCAGTTTTTGCAAGACGCTAAACCAGACAAAAAGCAAAAATTATCTTTCAGTTTTATTATATCCCAGCCATTTAACGGTCGACATGGGATAGGAAGGACAAGAGATCTCAGGGCTTCATTGTCATGAAACATTAACAGCTTTTAGAATGAAGCTCGCACTATGGCATGCAAATAGTTAGAAAAAGGAGAACTTTGCTCCATGTACATAGCTAAACACATACATTGATGAAAATGAGCTTTACGTCGATAACAATATCCTTGATCTGATGAAACAACGGGTATCAAGTGTTAGTGAAGAAATCTCTCTCTATTTTCATTGTCTATAAGAATTTGAAAAACACTTATTAAACTCCTTTGTAAGTTCCATTAGCGATATGCCTTCGGAGGACAATTGAGTTAAAAAATACTTTATTCATGTGATAAGTGATGAGGTGCACAACATGCTCTCCGTGAAATGTGTTAAAGTAATTTTTGGATTAAAATGGCGTAGTCCAATCAAAATTCCAAAGGTACCTCTAACATTGCTGACTCTATTTGCAACCAGCTTTGAGTGTGAGACGGCATTAAACTACCTGATGTCAAAAGTAAATCCCGAAACAGATTAGACGTGAAAAATAACATAAGAGTTGCACAGGCCAAAACAAGGCAATGCGTAGAAGAACTGGTTAAGGCAATGCACATGCATCAGTCCCATTAAATGTACATTTGATGACTAAGTTTTGACATTTTCTGAATAAGAAATAGCTTGTCAAAAATTCTATTTTTGGAATTCTTGGAATTCTATATGTTGATTGCAGTACATTATAAAGGGTCGGCGTGCCTTCAAAAAGTTGTAAAGAGACCATCACGCTAGAAATCCTTAAAAACTTTGAGAGCCAATGTTTACAACTCACATTTTTTAACAATTTTGAGTTCTCTGATTACATCATTCGGTGATTGACTTAAATTTCGTCGAAGGAGAAAGCTGAGTTTCTTTAATAATTTAATTGTCTTGTATTGCTAATGATTTCACACAAAAATAATTTGAAGTATTTGAAAGAATTCTCTTGCTTTCTCCCACACAGGCCTCAGTGTGACTACACCACGACGTTCCACACCAAGCCTTGGATGTATTTTGTGCAGTTCCACAACTTGTTCGTCATCATGTGCCACATGATGGCCATGTGGCTGACCGTCTCCCTGGCCGTGTTCCGGTACATCTTCGTCTGCAAGCACCAGCTGGCCACCGTCATGTGCTCCATGAGGCGTGCCAAGATCACCGTCCTCATCGTCTTCATCGGGACGATCGTCTCGTGTATACCCTACTTTTTTATGTACCGTGTCAAAGATATCAACGACATCGTCGACGAACGGGAGTGCTACTGGGTCGTGACATCAGACTTCGCGAACGCCCACCCCATCTACGTCAACTTTGTCCACTGGCTGTTCGGAGTCATCATCAAGATCCTCCCCTGCGTCCTGCTTTCGTACCTCTCCATCCTGTTGATCATTGCCATGCAGCAGGCGAAGAAGCGACGGGAGCACCTGCTTAACAATATCTTCCCGGTGATCGACCACTACAGCTCCAACGAGCACAACCGCGCCACAATGATGCTGGTGGCCGTGGTGATGTGCTTCATCATCACAGAGATCCCGCAGGGGATTCTCGCGTGGATCTGCGCCGTAGACAATAACTTCTTCCATAATGTCTACATACACCTTGGCGACCTTATGGACATCCTGGTGCTCATCAACAGCGCCGTGAACTTCATCCTCTACTGCAGCATGTCCCAGCAGTTCCGCGACACCTTCAAGAGCCTGTTCGTCTCCAAGAACCTTCCGCCTTTTTTTCACCGCGTCAAGCATCACCCCAACGGGGGCGACTACAGCATGGTGCACACAGAAACAACTCCTGTATAAAGGTGACGTTTGAAAATCCTACCTTTACCTCTTTCTATTCGGCACATGACGAAGCCAGATTCGAAATCCAATATTCCAGGAGAACATTTAAGTAGATTTGTTTCGCACGGTGAATTCATGATAGATCCGTTCAACGTAAGATTTTTATTTCCATGAAGACTTGAAATGGATTTCGGAAACTCAAATGTTTAACGCTATTGATGGAGCAATTCATTCAAAATACAATTGAGAAAGAGGAAACACTCATCTTGTTAATAAGACATAAGGATTTGATTTGAGAGTTGACTTTTGTAGACATATTAGTTGCCTTTAAACCACATTAACTGTGTGGTTTAGACTCCATTGTTGGGAGTGCCTTTGGCTAGGATGAGTTGGACGTGAGCTATTGTGAGTTGGACAGCTTTCATCCACTTCAAAGGGAAGACGTTCGCAACCGAATGGTTATAGAGAAGGTTGATCAGTCGAGGCCTATAAATAGAATGTTCTAACCCATTCTGTTATGTAAATAGTTGATTATCTCATATTTAGTGTGATCGTCGTTATTGGCGAATGTGATGTGTGTGTCTCTAAATTTGCATTACTAGTACTAACAGGGGCAGCATCGGGAGAAGAGAGAAACATGGAATAGAGGAGAGATATGGTAAAGAAATAGCGTGGACGATATAGAAATTAGTTATATATTAATAATATAGCTTTAAAAAAAAAGAGTAGGGGAGAGTAGAGGACACCACTGGCAATGTAGGGGAGAGTAGAGGACACCACTGGCAATGTAGGGGAGAGTAGAGGACACCACTGGCAATGTAGGGGAGAGTAGAGGACACGACTGGCAATGTAGGGGAGAGTAGAGGACACGACTGGCAATGTAGGGGAGAGTAGAGGACACGACTGGCAATGTAGGGGAGAGTAGAGGACACGACTGGCAATGTAGGGGAGAGTAGAGGACACCACTGGCAATGTAGGGGAGAGTAGAGGACACGACTGGCAATGTAGGGGAGAGTAGAGGACACGACTGGCAATGTAGGGGAGAGTAGAGGACACGACTGGCAATGTAGGGGAGAGTAGAGGACACGACTGGCAATGTAGGGGAGAGTAGAGGACACGACTGGCAATGTAGGGGAGAGTAGAGCACACGACTGGCAATGTAGGGGAGAGTAGAGGACACGACTGGCAATGTAGGGGAGAGTAGAGCACACGACTGGCAATGTAGGGGAGAGTAGAGCACACGACTGGCAATGTAGGGGAGAGTAGAGGACACGACTGGCAATGTAGGGGAGAGTAGAGGACACGACTGGCAATGTAGGGGAGAGTAGAGCACACGACTGGCAATGTAGGGGAGAGTAGAGGACACGACTGGCAATGTAGGGGAGAGTAGAGGACACGACTGGCAATGTAGGGGAGAGTAGAGGACACGACTGGCAATGTAGGGGAGAGTAGAGGACACGACTGGCAATGTAGTGTAAATAACCAGTGTGGAGCACGGACCTTTACTTTTTCTCAATGAGACGTCTTTAACTTATTCACTTGACTCTTACAAGCTAACTCCCAAACCTCAACCATTTTATATTTACATATTTTTTTTTTAAATCCTCAATCTACGATGTGTTTCAGAAAATGTCAGTTATTTGCACAAACTCCGCCATTTCCTTGTACAATTGAGTCACGTGACGTCTATTTCAAGAACTAATGGCCACAAAGAGATACAAATTATATTTAATTATAAAGTAAAATTATTTTTGTTTCAACTGTTACAATAGCAACCATGAGAAATAGTTTACAAAACTAAAAGTAACCGATGGACGTGGACCAGAACGAATAGATGATTGGGACCAGAGACGTCAGTCAAGGACGAATAGATGATTGGGACCAGAGACGTCAGTCAAGGACGAATAGATGATTGGGACCAGAGACGTCAGTCAAGGACGAATGACCCCTAAGATGGGGGACAATTTAGTCCCTTTCCTCCTACAACTTCCCAGTCCTGACAGAGGCATGTACTTTAACGGCACACCCCCTCCCACCTCTTTGTGTCACAGCCTTCTAATAATTACCACGAACATACAAAACCTTCTTCACTTAGCTGAAAATATAAGCACCCGGTTTTGGAAACAGTTCACATGACCACAGTGAACTGTCTCAAGGCCTAATTCAGTATTTTTAAAAAGAGAACGAGTATGAGAGAAAGAATAGAGGATATATCGAAAGGAAAATGGATCTAGCTACCCTGGCTACCCTGAAAGCGTTAGCTCGCAATACTAAAACCAAAGAAAATAAATAAATAAATAAATGTAGCCAAAGAAAATAAATAAATAAATAAATGTAGCCAAAGAAAATAAATAAATAAATAAATGTAGCCAAAGGAAATAAAAAAATAAATAAATGTAGCATAATACAAGCGACTGTACAAGAACTAACTAAACCCTCTGTCTCTATAGAGCTGAGATCATGTTAAGGACTAACCGGCTTAGTAGGACTAACTAAAAAGCGTTGTTGGTATTGTAGGATGCCAAGATCTGGGACTAACTGTGTGCCATGGATCTTGTTAGGTGGATTTTCTTGGCAAAAAAAAAAAGGTTTGACGTTGTCAGAAATGTGGCCCAAAGCTAGTGTACGCTTATCGTGGTTTGTTTTTGTGTGTGACAAAAACATATTAATGGGTGCTTTTACTAACTTTTATCATATACTAAAATAATTCGTAGAAAATCGTTATTTTATTCAGGAAAAAAATGTAAAAAATTAAAATCTCGCAATCATTCTCAACCATAGATGTATTAACAGATAAAACATCATCAAAAAGTAGGAAGATAAAACTTAAAAAAACAACTTAAAACGTCTCCATTCCCTTAGTTCCAATTAAGTTATCTTATTACGTTGAGACATAATTCTAAGAATCTTTAACTTGACAACACGTAGGACAGTTCATTAGTACTGACATGAAACGTTTCAAATACATTTAGTGGATTTTTTTCTCGCTGAATGGAAAGCATGAAATCAGCAGACAAACGAATTTGTCCCGCATTAATTTCACTGAGATGTCGGGTATGTAATTAACATGATAATTTTTCATTAAAATCATCGTTATATCTTATAACTGGTATTTTATAATAACTGAAATGTAAGTGAACTGTACAGTTTAATAATTGGGATTGCTTAAGTCGTATAAAGTTATATATCCTGGAATTAAAGACTTCTGTGCAGTTTTTTTTTCCTGGAATTCATTTCTGCTGTATAGCTCTACTTACGGCAATTCTGCAGTATAGCTCTACTTACTGCAATTTTGCTGTATAGCTCTACTTACTGCAATTCTGCTGTATAGCTCTACTTACTGGAATTATGCTGTATAGCTCTACTTACTGGAATTCTGCTGTATAGCTCTACTTACTGAATTCTGCTGTATAGCTCTACTTACTGCAATTCTGCTGTATAGCTCTACTTACTGGAATTCTGCTGTATAGCTCTACTTACTGGAATTCTGCTGTATAGCTCTACTTACTGCAATTCTGCTGCATAGCTCTACTTACTGCAATTCTGCTGTATAGCTCTACTTACTGCAATTCTGCTGTATAGCTCTACTTACTGGAATTCTGCTGTATAGCTCTACTTACTGCAATTCTGCTGTATAGCTCTACTTACTGCAATTTTGCTGTATAGCTCTACTTACTGCAATTCTGCTGTATAGCTCTACTTAATGGAATTCTGCTGTATAGCTCTACTTACTGCAATTCTGCTGTATAGCTCTACTTACTGCAATTCTGTTGTATAGCTCTACTTACTGGAATTCTGCTGTATAGCTCTACTTACTGCAATTCTGCCTTACAGCTCTACTTACTGGAATTCTGCTGTATAGCTCTACTTACTGCAATTCTGCTGTATAGCTCTACTTACTGCAATTCTGCTGTATAGCTCTACTTACTGGAATTCTGCTGTAAAGTTTTATCATTTTATAAAGGTCGTGACCGCACAAATATACGTCATGTATGACGTCAACTCCACCATGTCTTGTGAAATCATGTTCAGTGACATGCCCAACACACCGAGACCTGTGCGTACCAGAAAAACTACAAATAAAGCCAACGTACGTAATATCGCACTGTACAGAAAAAAAGCAATATGTCTTACGTAATCTTCGTCTGAATTCAGAACAAAATATGTTTACTCTAACTCTGTTCTTAGAAGTGCACACCAATGTGTGCGTGCTTAAAAGCTACGCCGCACTTTAAAGATAAGATGAGATGTATAAAAAATATGTAAATTAACCATATACATTTTATGTTTACATACACTACGTATGCATTATCTCGTGTTCATGTCCCAGTTTGACATCAATAATTCCTAGAGTAATAGCAGGACTGTGGTGTGAGCCAGAGGTCTCTGACAGTGAACGTGTTGAGAAATTGATTGCTTTCCTCGACTGTTACAAGCCCACATTTGATTATAACAGTTCGCAAGATGTGAAGAGATCATCTGGACGAGGACAAGCGAGCTTGAACTCTCAATCACCAGGCATGCATGATACTCTTTATGTAACTTTGTGGTGGGGCAACTTGTGACAATGCTTTAGAGGGGAGCCCCGCCAATGATTGTACTCTATACGGTTGTCATTGAGTTATATCTACATAACAGTTTCTTGTTGTGATCATAATAAACAAATCTATACGCTACACGCTTAAGAGCCCTCATTTGAACATTGTTTGATTGGAAATATATGTTTGTGTTCAGTTAGTTTAGGAATCCGATTATAAATGAGAAACAGACTATTGAATCAGCCAGTTGAAAGGTAACATCTCGATCTGAGTAAATGTCGGCAATGTGGCAGCACTGTGTTTAAGTAGTCAATTACAGAGAAATGCTCATACTTGTGTGTTTAGTTGCTCGGATTATAGATTTTAGGCTTTTACATACACATAAATATAAAGTTAGAGCATTAAATGTTTGTAAAGACAGTGATATAATATGAAACAAAGATTCAAATAACAAAAAACTTCACAGGTTTTAGCAGACTA